AAACTGAACTGCATAACCTTGCATTTTCATGTTCACTTTTTTGTGTCATACCAATACAAACAAAAGAAATAGAGAGAAAGCCAAGCTGACACATTTCATGCAAAACTCCGAAAATGGACTGGATAAAATTTATTGGTACCCTCAATTTAATATTTGGTAGCATATTCCTTGGAAAAATAACAAATCAATCGCTTCCTGTAACCATCAATGAGTTTTTTACACCAGTTTTTTACACCTGCAATTTTGAACTACTTTTCTTTTGCCAACTTCTCCAGGTTTCTCAGACTGGAAGGGTTCCTTTTCCCAACTGCTGTTTTGAGATCTCTCCACAGATTCTCTTGGCTTTTTTATATTACTGTGTCAGCAGTGGGGTTCTCTTGGGTCTCCTACGATAGCGTCCCTTTTCATTCAGATTGTGACATATAGTGTGAGCTGACACAGTTGTACCTTGTGCCTGAAGTCAGCTTGAGTTTGTCTGGAAGTTGATCGAGGTTCTTTATCCACCATTCAAACAATCCTTTGTTGCAATCTTTTATCAAGTTTTTCTCTTTCTTCCATGTCCAGGAAGATTAGCTACAGTGCCATGTGCTGTAAACGTCTTGACAACGTTGTGCACAGTGGACACAAGAACATTAAGATCTGTTAATTGATACTTGTGAGTTTAATTACAAATTACAGGAGCATCACAAATTGGGAATGCAATTATTTCTTACAATTTTGAGAAGGTGCCAATAATTTGGTCCAGTTCATTTTCAAGGTTTTGCATTGACTATCAGATTTGGCTTTGTTTCTCCACTTTTTTGTGTCGTGCCAATACAAACAAACGAAATAAACAGAGTGTTGAAACATGACTGTATATGTGTTATCTTTTTTTTTTTTTTTTTTTTTTTTACGGAACTTTTTTTTTTCTTCCCATCACATAGGGATTAAAAAGTCCCCTATGTGATGATTTTTTGGTGACAGGTTCTCTTTATTAGACATCCAGGGTCTCCCTTGCATGCCACTGAAAGTAATGCAGTGCAGATCGCACTGCATTACATTTATTCCCAGCCTCGATGGCCTGGGACACTATCAGGGACCCGGAAGTGACATCATACACATCACTTTTAGGTCAGGAACACAATAGAGAGGAAAGCAGACGAGTGTCCTTCCTCTACCAGACTGTGCATACTATGCTGGTCCCAGGCCTGCAGATGGGCATGCGAAGCCCGGGATGCATAGTGAGTGGGTGGGGGGGGGGCACTTTACTTGCGTGTTTGGAGGCATCCAGGCAGCAGCAATCAGCCACTTACAGGAAGCTTTATTTTCGTAGTACTATCCTTCTTTGCCTGGTGTGAACACAGGCTCTACAGTCCAGAGATTACTCTGTGCCCCGTATTGTGGCCTTACTACAATCATGTCTTAACTAGAACTATAGTGTGCATTAAGCATACTAAAATGACTGGATTTGGTCTTGTCTGTTCTTTTTTCAAAGACCTCTAACTTCCCTTTCACTTGTAAAAACCTTTCTTCAAGACGTATCTCACATTGAGTCCCCATTGCAGCACCCTTTGCATCCTTGAGATCCCAACTTGGTTCTCTCTGCCCTGCAGAAACCACCCTTTAAGCCCATCTGGAATGATTCCTTAATGAGCTCTTCTGGAAAAATACCCTTTTTGGTTGCCATCACGTCTGTCTGGTGTGTTTTGACATGGCTGCTCTCTCTTGTAAGGAGCCGTTCCTCATACTTCACAAAGACAAAGGTGTATAATGCCCAAGACCATCCTTTTGTTCTCAAGATGGTATCCGTTTTTCACCTCAATGAGGACGTAGTCCTGCCATCCTCATGCCCTGCCCCAAACCATCCATAGGAAATATCTTCCTGAATGTATTCAGAGCCATTAGAGTCTACTTTTAAAGCTACAGCTTTGATCAGACAGAAACCATATTTGTCCTGTCCTCAGGATCTCATAAGGGACACCCTGCTATCAAATCCACCATTGTAAAATGTATAAGAAATCTGATCACTAGAGGACAAAAATCTATGCTTTTACTCGCCTATTCCACCAGATTGGTGGGCATTTCCTGGCCATTTCTTCACCAAGCCTCTGTATCCCAGTTGTGTAGGCCTCTGTTCATACATTTTCAAAGTTCTGCCAGGTGTATGACCAGTCTTCTGCGGATGCAGCTTTCAGCTGCAAGGTTCTTACAGCAGCATTAAGTTGAGTCTTTTTCACCATTGTTATCGGGCTTCTTGGCACAGTTCTGTTTGTTGTTGCTTGTTCTTCTCATTCATTGTTTGGTGACATTCCAGGTTCTAGTAATACCTTGCCTGTGTACACTACTATACAGTTAAGATAAGAGGAATTTTGACTTTTACATGTAAATTCATATCATGGAGTACAGCACACAGGCCATCCTCCCCTCCATTCCTAGATTACTTTGTGTTGCTTGCTGAAACAAAAAACAGGACTCGCATAGTGGGGTAGGTCAATAGGGAAGGTGCCCAGTGGGCATGTCTTCAAAAGCATGCCAGTGTCCAATTGCCTGAAGGTACAAGCCTTTAACCACTTTCCTACCGGGCACGTATACCCCCTTCTTTAACAGGCCAATTTTCAGCTTTCAGCGATGTTGCATTTTGACAATTGCGCAGTCATGCAAGATTGTACCCATATGAAATTTTTATCATTTTTTTCTCACAAAATAGAGCTTTCTTTTGGTGGTATTTAATCGCCGCTGGGCACTTCACTTTTTGCGCTATAAACACAAAAAGTGCAAAATATTTGAAAAAAAAAAAGTTTTTGTTTTTATTATAAAATTTTTCAAACAGGTAATTTTTTCTCCTTCGCTGATGTGCGTTGATGAGGCAGCACCGATGGGCACTAATAGGCGGCACTTATAGGCAGCACGGATATGCGGCACTGATAGGCAGCACTAATGAGGTGTCACGGATAGGCGGCACTGACTGGCATCACTGCTGGGCACTGACTGGCACAACCACTGGGCACTGACTGGCAGCACTGGTGGTCACAGGTGGGTGGCACTGGTGGGCACATGTGGATGGCAGTGCTGGGCACAGGTAGGTGGCACTTCTGAGCACAGGTGTGTGGTACTGCTGGGTGGCACAGGTGGGCGCACTGCTGGGCACAGGTGGGTGGAATTGGTGGGTGGCACTGCTGGGCACCGATCATCAGGGCACTGATCATCAGTGCCCTGATGATCGTACCGATCCCTGCTCTGACAACTGCCGATTCTCGGCAGTACTTTCCTCACGCTCTGACAGTGTGAGGAAAGTGCAGCCTGGAACCGGCAATTGCATTTCCCGGTGATCAGCATGTCATTGGACACGTGGTAAAAGGCTGCTGTGATTGGCCTTTTACCACATCACGTGATCAACTGTGTCCGTAGGACACAGCGATCACGGAGATCGCCGGGTGCGCGCACCCGGGGGCGCGCAGGAGAGCGCGTTCTGGGAGGACGTCATATGACGCCCCCCCCAGAACTGGCCAGACGCAGTGTAGCCGTCATTCGGCTATCTGCGGTCGGCAAGTGGTTAACCTAGCGTCTATAATTACTTTTTCTTTACTGTACTCCAAGATTTGGGATCTACAGAAGTCAAAATTCCTCTTTTTTGTTTATTTTAGATATAGTGGAGACTGATTAGAACACTTGCCATGTTTTTATTACTTTCTGTGTCCTTGTTAGGGGAGTTAACTTTCTCTATTTGTTCTGGTGACCCTTATCATTGAAAGTGAATGAAAATCCAAAATTTTGAGTGTCCACAGAACAGGAATAGAGGGGAGTCACACATGTCTTTCAGTTGTGAACAGAATAAAATCCTGACTTGATCCTGATCTAAACCTGACCTGAAACGCTAAGCAATTACTTTGTGAGTTACCTGTGAAAACGGAGCTTCAATTCACAGCGCACATGTGTGAATCCACACTGAAATGTATTGATATAGAATGATATTCAAAATGATAAGCTAAATTTGTCTTCATCTCTGCTTTAAAGGCGAATTCCAGGTATGTATGTAGCATACCTGCCCTTTGCCCCTGAAAAATGTAAATATCCCTGGAGTGGATAACACTAATCTAGTGATCTCCACTTTCTTCCGGGTCCTTTGCAGAGTGGCTACCCTGCTGCATTTTAAACATAGGAGGTTACCTGCTCGGCATGAACTCCGTTCCAAGAATATTTTTTGGATGAATGTAAAGTCTGATTGGCACCCATGCTGAGCAGCCGACCTCCTATGTTCACAATGCAGTGGGCTAGCTGCTCAGCACAGGACCTGGAAGCAAGAGACGATCAATGGAGTAGCAGTGTCTACTTCATTAATTCTTGGATTCCAGGGCACTGGCTTTGCATGGTATATGCATTATTACATTGTTCCAAGCTGGAATATATATATATATCTCTATATCATGGTATATGCACTATTACATTGTTCCAAGCCGGAATATATATATATATCTCTATATATATATGGTATATGCACTATTACATTGTTCCAAGCCGGAATATATATATATATATATATATATATATATATATATATATCTGTACATGTATCTATAAAATATGCATACCTAGCATTCCTCTTTAAAACTGTTTCTGAAATGAAAAATGACATGGTGACTTTATATATCTTTGCAATGTTTTACTACTTACGTTGTTTATTCTGTTACTGATTTTTTTGAGGTGGAAAATAGAACAGAAATACTGATAGCTGCTTTTACCGATGTTATAAAAGTGAAGATCATTACCTTAATATAAAGTGATTCTCTCCTTTCTGTATGAAAGAACAAGCTATGGGACATCAGTTCTCATCTGCTGCATAAATCGGCTAAAGTTGAATGTCTGGGCTCCTGACCTGACCTTTAAGTAATCCAGTAATGCTTTTATGTGACAGCCCTACAAAATGGTACCTTTTGTGACATATTACTGAACAATATGCAGTATATTTTTTATCTGATACTATATATACACAATTTTTTTATCCTTCTGATTTATACCTCAAGGTTTCGTTTATCGAGTAGACGAAATTACAGAGAATGCCAGGCAGATGGAATGTGGAGCAATGCTCTTCCTCAATGTGATGGTAACTATATAATCTGCATTTTCCACTGTTATCCTAAGTATGCACACTTCTGTGTAGTATACAGTATACTGTACATTTCTATGAAATTTAATTTTCTTGTGACTGAACTACTTGTTGGTAGTCACCTCCATGGGTTTAAAAGCTTTAAGGCATTTATGTTTCCTACAAACCATATGGTCAAATCTACGAACACCTTGCACATAAAAGCATGAAGTTAAAGTTCACCTTTACATAAATAATAAACGCACATCTTTTTGCAAGTAAAAAGATGCGCTCCCGCGGTTTATTCAAACTACTTTTTAAAATGTGACAGTGGGTGCGGGGAGAGGAACCACTGTCCACTGCCAGGAGGGGTGATAACCATGCCTGCTGTTCTAAAATGGTGGCGGAGACTGAGGGAATATCGGGCCGGCCACTCCATATTCACTCCATAAAATGCACAGACATTTCCCCCATTTTTTGGGGGGTAAAAAAGAGTGTCTTATGGAGCGAAAAATACGGTAGTCCAAAATGTCATACCACTTTTATTCAGTGGAGCAAGCTCTATTGTGCTTTGAAAGAGCTATGCGGCCTCTTTTGTGTAGAAAAAACTGTTCTAAAGCTAAACCACAGTCTCTAATTCTTGGCCTATCAGCTTTAGAGAGGGTTTCACATGATGGGTTTTTTTTTTTTGGTTTTTTTTTTAATTCTGTATGTACAAGCATGGCATCCAGCCTGACACTTTCAGATTGGTAGATCTGAAAAGAATAAGGATTGTATAGAGCAGCCTTTTTCAACCAGGGTGCCCAGATATCCTGCCATGCTTTCACGTTTCTTCAGGGGTGCCTTGGCAAAATGTCTAACAATTGCCCAAAAATTGTATACAAGCTAGCTGTGGATCGAGCCTGCATTACAACTTTCTACCTGCTGGCATCCTAACAACCAATGACATTATCGGTTGATAAGGAGAATGTTGGGCAACTACACAGTATGCTTGTTTGCCCCTCCCCTGCCCTTCTCTGTTAGCACTTGGGCCACAGTAACTGAGGGAGAGCACCAGTGTGCAAAGGTGTGTTTGGAAGAATAAATCATCTCTAAGGTTTGGTGTCCAACGTATGTGGCTGTTGCTGCGATATCTGAAACTGTTACAATAGTTTTTTACATGTTAGAATGGGGTGCCTTAAGATTGTCCATAATTTTAAAGGGTGCCACGACTGCAAAAACCTTTTAGAAACACTGGTATAGTGTAAAGATCACCTGTTGTGAAATATCATTCTGTACAAAATTATAAAGTAAATATATGGTAATGATGCTCCTATTTAATCGCTTCCTGCCCAGCCACTGTACATATACAGCCACAGCAGCATGTTTCCCTAGTAAAACACACACTGCACATTATGTTAAACTGCACACACTTAACTCTTTGAGTGCCCCGGTTGTTAACCCCTTCCTGCCCAGTGTATTAGTGAAGTGTCAGTGATTTTTATGAGCACTGATCACTGTATCAGTGTCATTGGAATGTCAGTGGCAGTTCCCACCCAGTGTCAGAATGCCCGCCACAGTCCCGCTATAAGTTGTTGATCGCCGCCATTACTAGTATAAAAAGAATAAAAATTCCAGTGTGTGTATATGTATGTATATATTTTGTATGTATGTTTTTATATATATATATATATATATATATATATATATATATATATATATATATATATATATATTATTACATACACACAGTATATATACAGCCTATTGTAGATGCTATAATTTTTGGGGGGATTTTTTTTTTAGCAAAGACATGTAGCAGAATACATTTTGGCTTAAATTTATGGCAAAAATATATATATATATTTTTAAATTGTTGATCTTTTTTTGTTTATAGCGTGAAAAATAAAAACTGCACAGGTGATCAAATGCTATTGAAAGAAAGTTCTATTTGTTGCGAAAAAAAGGACATAAATTTAATATATGTACAGTATTGCATGACCGAGCAATTGTTAAAGTAATATAGTGCCGTACCCCAAAAAATGGCCTGGTCAGGAAGGGGGGTAAATCCTCTGTAGGTCAAGTGGTTAAGGGGGAATATTATCAACATTTATAAATGCATAAGTGGTCCATATATAGTGAACCACTTATATTCACCTTAATGTTATCAGGACCAGGGGACACTCTTTACGTCTGGAGGAAAAGCTATTTAACCTCCAAATACAGAAAGGCTTCTTCACCGCAAGAGCTGTGAAAACGTGGAATAGGACTCCCTCAAGAGATGATTTTGGCCAGCTCATTAGATTATTTTAAAAAAGGCCTGGATTCTTTCCTAAATTCACATAATTTAACAGGATACTAATAATTATAGGTAAAGTTGATTCAGGGAATATTAATTGCCGATCGGGGGATCAGGAAGGAATTGTATTTCCCCTGCTGTAGAAAATTGGCTCATGCTTTGTTTTTTTTTTGTTTTTGTTTTTTTTGCCTTCCTCTGGATCAGCTATGGGTATAGGATAATGTATATGATGGAGGCTTTCGATTTGTATGTTTTTTTTTTTTTTTTTTTTTTTTTTTTTTCTGTTTGTTTTTCTTCTCTGTGGGATGAACTGGATGTCAGTTTTCAACCAGATTAACTAATACTTACATTTGCACTGTGCATAACTTCAAAAGCAGAATAGATATTGGTACAAATAATGAACACAGCCTTTTAAAGCCATCTTGATGTGCACTGGGCATCTGGATGTTCTCCTATACATATTGCAAATCCCTAATATGCCCAGACATGTGTAATGGTAATGCGTAATGTGTAATGCTCTATGTGTAATGGTAGGCCATAAGGTTTGATTTTTTTTTTTTTTGTTTTAATAAAATCAATTTTTGCCAAAATACCCTGGATATGAAATATTATTGTGAAACAGCTGTGTGGGCGTTTTTTTGTTTTTGTTTTTTATTTTTTTCATCTGTTGTGTGTTAAGCTGGCCATACGTTGATCGAAATTGAGCTGGTTCAGCAGGGACAGTGCCGAATTTTGAACCATGTATGAGTAATCTGGTTGTACAGGCTTTACTGAGTCTTGCTCTGTGCATCAGTGGGCAGGCAGCAGTGAGGAGGGGCCAGAAGAGGCGGATCGAGGCTACTCTGCAAAACCCTTGCATTGACAAGGTAAGTATGTTTGTTATTTAAAAAAAAAAAATAGCTTTACAATTGTTTTAACCCAAGCACAGGTTTTGGTACAGCTGCACATCTTGAAGCTATTCTATGGGCCACAAGGTTGAATAAAAATGCATTCGTGCTCAGTGATTTTATAGACATAATCTCTGAAGTTTTGATAGGCCATGCTTACATAAGTCTGTTGTGACTTTCATGTTAAAATTACGAGAGAACTTTTTTTTTTTTTTTTTTCTAAATATGCATTTTCTGTTATAGCTATACTATGTGCTGCACCAGAATCACCAGAAAATGGACAATATGAACCACTGAGGGATGAATACAATTATTTGGATTCTGTAACATTCTCATGCACAAAGCCTTTTGAAGTTGCGGGTCCTCATTCTATAGCCTGTACTGCAACAGGGGAGTGGAGTTCTAATTCTCCCACATGCAAAGGTTAGAAAAATGGCATTTTTGAGCTTGTGTCACTGTATTTTTGCCTGGGATCTAGATTTTTAGAGGTTTGTTAGCTTCAGAAAGAAAAAGGTTAAGGTGATTGTGACCATATTAGTTCACTTGTAACTATACAGTTGCATACTGTCTGTGATACTTTTTTATTATATTATTTTTTGCACAAACAACCAGGAAATCTGAACGAGTTCTGTCTGTATTCAATTTGGTTGGGTGAGTAGGGGCCCAAGTGACCTTTGATGTCTCTTTAAGAGGGCCTACCACCTATATTCTTGGCATTCTCCTTTGTGATATTGATAAAGTTTAAAAAAAAAAAAATTAAAGACCCCCTCTCCCATGTGCACGCACAAAGAAATACAAATGCAGGCATATGGCAAACAGGATTATGTAAACAGTAATTGCGCAACACACATTACATATTGCTAAACACACTGTAGTGAGAGGAATCATTATTTATTTTTAATTCCAAATTGATGAACTGTATAGGTTTTTAAAGCCACACGCAGTTTGAAGTCTTCACATATTTTGGTATCTTATTACTTTTATCTTTTTTTTTTTTTTTTGCAGAAAAATTTATTTTATATATAACATGCAGTGCTGAAATGGACAATATTCATTGAATATTGTCCATTTCAGCACTGCATGTTATATATATTGTATTTAGAAGGTTCTGAGGTTAATACCTTTCATGCTAGCTGCTCCATCCACATAGATCTAGCGCTCGTTTTTCATATATATTTTATCTGTACGGAGAATTTATTTTGTTTGTGTGCCATAACTTGAGTGTATTTTTCTTTTCTTTTTTTTTTTTTTACTGAAAATATGGGTTTGAAAAACTGTTGTACCAACATTATGCTACATCAATAATTGTAAATTATATTTATTACTGAGTCCTCTGCTTTCAGTAAATGTGTAATGTTTTGGGGGTTTTAAGCATGTTTTTATGTTCAAAATGCAAATGGCATTCAGTATGTGTGCAAATAAAAAAGGACATGGAAACCTTAAGGGCCCATAAAACCCACAAGAAAATAAAGAGGTATTGTAAGCGTGGCTGTGCATATTCTCTCTGTCACGGTGGCAGATGTGATATGTAAGTTGCAGACTGCAAATGAATATTCATCCAGTGACCGGGCAGAGCTGCACACAGCAAATAAATCAAAAGCATACAAGTTGTATCCAGAAGAAGCATCGCAACTCAGGTAGAGAAGGGAGGTGGCAGGCGGTTTGAGGGATTATGTATGTGTCTGTGCTTCACGTACACTCTAAATAGGGGTACAGCATGAAACATCATTAAAAAACTGGACTTGGCCTTTACCATTTTGCATACATAATGATTAGTGATCCTTATAGTTTTGTTTTTTTTTTTTTTTTATTTTGATAATAGGAAAATATGATGTAGTGCGGCACAATGCCGCCATTAATATGCTACCTACACTGACTTATCATTTTTTATTTTTTCTCAATCTTTTTCTCCTAATTCTTAGTTGTAAAATGCTCTGATCCAGATGTGAAAAATTCAAGAAGACTGTCAGGGTTCATTGGCCCATATACACTGAATTCTGGTATATCTTTTGAATGTAATAAAGACTTCGTTCTGAGGGGATCCAGATCAATCTCATGCAACATTGATAGTCAGTGGGTACCTGCAATTCCACAGTGTGAAAGTAAGTATACAGCACTGAAAAAAACGGTATGCTTCATTACCCTCTTTTAGGGTCAATTTACAGTTAGACCATACAATCTTTGTACAATCAGCTTTAGATTTACAAAGACTATGCAAAATAGGGGGGCCTAGCTAATCTATCCAATCAATTTGTATCCAGTCAGGCCCTTGCAATACATAGTTGTTGGTAGATCAGAAGGCGAAAGTACACAAGGGTTGTAATGTATACTAAAGCTGCTTTCACACTGATGTTTCTTTTGCGTGTTTTAAACAAAAAAAAAAAAAAAAAAAAAAAAAAAGGCAGAAGAAATTTGTGGGACCATGTATCCCTATGGAACTCTTCACATGGGTCTGTTGTGAGTCTGGTACATTTTTTAAAATCCTGCTTGCTGTGTTTTTGGTGCAGTAAAAAGCACCTTTCCATTGAAATCAATTGAAAATGCTGCAAAAATAAACCCGCGTTGCATTTTTGGGTGTGGGTTTTTTTTTTTTTTTTTAGCTGCATGTCCTGTAAAAAAAAATGCACTGCAGGCGCAGTAAAAAATGCATGTGCGTTTTTACCGCATCAGTGTGAAAGTAGCCTAAAACTCCAGCCTAGTAGCCTAGAACTCCAGTTTTAGTAAATCCGTTGTTGTATTACACCAATTAATTAATTTATTAAAAAAATTAATAAATAGATCGAAAACCTGTATATACAGAACCCAAAACCACCAACTGATCCCAAGGATGGCAAAAAGCCTTTATAAAGCGTGGTCTAATTTGTCTGGACAGAGATAAAAAAAAAAAAAAAAAAATGATCCCTTCCCCCAGATTATTGGATTCAGGTTCAATCACTTCCATTGTCACAGGTGTATAAATTCAAGTACCCAGGCATGCGGACAATTTCTTCAAATATTTGTGAAAGAATGGTTTGCTCTCAGGAATTTCCTTGCTACTAAATATTCCACAATCAACTGTTAGTGGTATTATAATAAAGTGGAAGCAACTCATCCATGAAGTGGTAGGCCACGTAAAATGACAGAGGAGGGTCCGCGCATGCTGAAGCGCACAGTGCACAGAAGTTGCCAGCTGTTTGCAGAGTCAATATCTAAACACCTCCAAACTTCGTGTGGCCTTCAGCGTAGCAAAACAGTGCGTAGAGAGCTTCTAGGAATGGGTTTCCATGGCCGAGCAGCTGCATTCAAGCCTTACATCAACAAGTGCAATGCAAATTGGTGTAATGCACACTGCCACTGGACTGTAGAGCAGTGGAGACCTGTTCTCTGGAGTGACGAATCACGCTTCTCTGTCTGGCAATCTGATGGACGTGCCTGTATTTGGCAGGTGCCAGGAGAATGGTACTTGCCTGCCTGCATTGTGCCAACTGTTAAGTTTGGTGGGGGGGTTATGGTGTGGGGTTGTTTTTCAGGAGTTGGACTTGGGGTGGAGGAACTTGATTGTGTGGAGGAACTTGTATTGTGATGGTGTATTTGGATGTTGAGCTGTTCCACCAGACATATATTGTTGAAGCCAAATAATTTAATTTAGTCTCATTGACCAAACAACCTTTTTCCATGTGGCCTCAGAAAATAGAGTTGGAGTCTTCCCAGCTGTAGTCAATTGGGTGTGTGTGTGTGTATATATATATATATATATATATATATATATATATATATATATATACATACACACACACACACACACACACCCAATTGACTACAGCTGGGAAGACTCCAACTCTATTTTCTCCACAACTTTTGCCTGCCATTTTACCTGGAAACACCTGAGAGCTGTTTTAGATGTGGCATGGATGCTGGTACCTATTTTCATGTCTTTTGATTGTGCCCCAGATTACAATGCTACTGGAGGGAAGTAGTAGTCACCATCAACACAGTGGGTAATTTCTCTCTTTCATTTGTTCCTGCCCTCTGTTTTCTTTGGTCTTGTGTAGGGTGTGGTGGCCACTATACATGCTATACTTTGTCTTCTACTCTGTCTATTATGCCAGGAGAGAGATTCTTCCAGGAGAGAGGTGGAAATCTCCTTTCCCTCCTACAATGAGTAGCTGGAAAGCACCAATTAACGTACCTATGCTAGCAGGAACTATCCTAATAAATTTGACAAAATCTGATGTTGATAATGCACACTTGCGAGATATGTCACACCATCGGGAGACCTGGCGGTGCATACAGTGTTATGCTGCTGTATCTACGTTCATTGTAAGCGCAATTCATTAAAGAATTAAAGCGGTTTTGATATTACTAAACTATGGCATCCCATTCTCTTCTTTAACTCCTCTTTGTTGAGCGCATTCATTCTGAAGCTAGATGTCCATGGCCAGAGTATGTGATGCTTCTGGGCAGCAAGGTATTATATGGTCTCTTTGTAGGATCTAATCCTGTGGTAAGGAGCCTACCTAACTCTTTAGTGAAGTGGTCTGGTGGCACTTTCCTTTCTCTTGGCTCTACGTTTGTGTTTACTTCCCTCAGAAGCCTATTACCTTTGGGGACTTTTTTTATGAATTCGGACTATTTATAATTTGATTTCTTTGGATTTGCTTCACTTCATTATTGTCTTTTTTGCATGAATTGTTGATTAACTGGAGAATTGTGGATTTTTATTTGTTTGTGATGAATTGGAATTTTTCACTTATTTGTTTTTCAATATTTGCTTAGAGAATTGAGAACTGTTTTTTTTTTTTTTTTTTTTTTTTTTTTTCTTTTTGTGAATTTTGGATGAATTGGAGTTTTTATAGAATTTACATATTTATTCATGCGCATGTAATTATGATGGACTTTTAAAGGGTTTGCGCACTTATTTATTGATTTAATTTGTGTATGGCACATCATGTATCTGGATTGATTTATAGAAGGGCAGCACACCTATATAGTGATTTAAATTTTGTGTAGTACATCCTGTATCTGGATTGTAATTTTAGGTGCAGCAGTTCTAAATGTTTTTGCACTTTTTTCTCATAGCGCAGGATTATTTTTTTAGTTTATTAAGATTATATCTAATGTCTGGCAGCCAGTGGTTACTGGGCCATTGCCTTACAGCAACTCTTTCCTGCACACCTGATCTTTTTTTATTTGGTTTACTAGATAAAGACTATTGGCCACATTATACTAGCATATTCTTGCGAGAAACGTTGATGACTTGCAAAGCCATAGCTTTTAAATGGGTGAGTCCATTCTCTCCTATTTAGCCCAGTAGAAATCATTGGTCAGTGAAAAAATGGGAATAGGAGTTTTCTGCTAAAACTCCATAATATTTGGGGGATGTGGGGGGAGGGGCCTGAACATGGCATCGGCAAGGTGCATGTTCTAGGAGCTCCCAAGGACCGCCTGGAGTAATGAGGAGGAAAACTTAAGATCGGTGAGGAATAATTACCCTATCTTCCCTGAGTGAGCCCCCTACCCTGTGGTGTTGTGAGTGGCGTCGGTGAGGAGAGTGTGCCAGGAGAGAGCTGCGGAGAGGTAGATCCCTTACGGGAGCAGAGCGGTGGATGTTGGGAGAGATCACTTGACCACCGCGGAAGAGCACTGGGAGACGCCGGCTGCATAGGAGAGGAAGCGAACGCGAAAGGGACTTACAGACCCATTTGATTTCCCCTCCCCCAAGTTGGATCATCTTTGACTACTCTGTAAAGGAAGACCGTAGAATACAGCCTGTGCAGAACTGGACACCCCGGATAATCGCAGTTGGTGAAGCAGCAGAGCAGAGGAAGACTGAGAGGAGATGGTGTAAGGCCCTGTGGGAAGTGGTGAGTCCAACATAATTGTTACCAGTATTGTTACACGTTAGAGGTGGTTGGGGACAATTATTAAAAGGAAAAGAAAGCCATAAAAGGGGTCACCAGGGGGTCTGTAGGAGTTAAAAAGAGGAAAAGAAGATCGTTTGAAGGAGTCCTGACTGAGGAATCCAGAGTGTCATTAGTAGTGTCCAACCTGAGCCAAGTGGAAAAAGTTTATATATGGATACTAAAAATACTGATGAACAGGAAAAAAGCCTACAAATGCCTACAAAAACTGAAATAGCGGAAATGTTTACGAAATTAGAATACTGAATAAAGAGCAGTAATACACAAAGATCAGGGGCAGGTTTTATCAGGAGTGGAAGCAACTGAGGAGAAACCAGATAAACACGCCCAAGTAATAACTAATCTGGAAAAGCAATTGGAAGAGACTGTTGTATAAGGTGGAAGATCAAGAGAATAGAGATAGGAGGAACAAGTTGAGGATCCGGGGTCTACCAGAGGCACCCCAAGGAGAAGATCTGATGGAGATAATGAGGAAAGTGTTAAATCCATTGCTGGACAAATTAGAAACAAAGCAATTGATAATTGATAGAATAAACAGAGTGGGGCAATCCCATAAAGAGATGTGATTCCATTACTATGAAGATAAGGCAAACATTTGGAAGTAGATCAGAGGGATACCAGCAATAAAAAATATGAAAAATAAATCTGCGGATATAGCATCGGAAACAATGGCCAGAAGAAGATCTTTGAAACCACTACTGGAACAGATGAAAAAACAAAATTAACGATATCTGGGGGGTTTCCAGCTTTTTTAATCGGATGGAAGTATGGACGCTCCGCTAGACTGAGGTTCCCAGATAAGCTACAGGACTTTTGGAAAGACTGGAATTACAGATCGTGGGCATTCCAGGATGGACAAAAGGGGCAAAAGAAAAGGTTGCGATAGAGGGAGATGGCAACCAATTCCTAAAAAGGGGATGCAATAGAGATAAGAGGGGAGAAGTAGGGGAAGAGTAGCGGGAAAAACTATGATTCTAAAAGAAGTGTAACCTGTCTTGAGGGGAGGGGAGGGGTGGAGAGAGGAGGAATAATTATTTTTTCTTTTTTTTTTTTTTTTCTTTTCTTCTCCTTCCTTCCTTTTTCCACCTTTCCTATCTTTTCTCTTCTCTTAAATAGGTTCAGATTTATAGAATCTAGGCGGTGGATGGCAGGCCAACGTGCACTGGATCTGTGATTCAGGAGTAAGGTCATGGGTTCGGTCA